CTAAACCTTAAACAGAAACTAAAGACGCTAAACCCTGAACCCTAAACCCTGAATAGAACCAAAACCCTAAAACCTAAACGCTGAATAGAAAACACGAAACCCAAAGCCCTAAATAGAAACCAAACTCTAAACCCTAAACGCTCCAGACCCTAAATAGAAACCACACCCTAAACCCTAAACGGCTTTAAAGCTTAAATAGAGGCAAACCCTAAACCCTAAATAGAAACTAAAAACCCTAAACCCTGAACCCTAAAAAGAAACTAGAAACCCTCAACCCTGAACCCTACACCCTAAATAGAAACCAAACCCTAAACCCTCAAAGGCTCCCAACCCGAAGCAGAAACCAAACCCTAAACTCTAAATAGAAACTAAAAAGCCCTAAACCCTGAACCCTACACCCTAAATAGAAACCAAAACCTAAACCCTAAACGACCTAAACCCTAAATTGAAACTAAAACCTAAACCCTACATAGCCACCAAACCCTTCACCCTAAATACTAAAACCCCTAAAACCCTGAACGCTAGGCCTTAAACCCAAAACCCTAACGAGAAACCAAACCCTAAACCCTAAACGGCCCTAAACCTGAATAGAAATCAAACCCTAAACCCTAAACGGCCCTAAAATTTTAACAGAAACCAAACCCTAATCCCTAAACGACCCTAAACCCTAAGTTGAAACCAAACCCTAAACCCTGAATAGAAACTAAAAGCCCTAAACCCTGAACCCTGAACCCTAAATGGAAACTAAATGCCCTCAACCCTAAACCCTAAACGGCCCTAAACCCTGAATGAAAACCAAACCCTCAACCCTAAATAGAAACTAAAACCCCTAATTAAACCCTAAACCCTAAATTGAAACCAAACCCTAAACCCTAAACGGCCTTAAACCCTCAATAGAAACCAACCCCTAAACCCTAAACGGCCCTAAACCCTACATAGAAACCAAACCCTAACTTGGAGGGAGCGCTGAACAAACCGAGGCGCGAAGCCAAGGGAGGCTGCCTGCGACAAGGCCGCCTCTGGCGCAAAAGGGGTGGCCCCAGGGGTTCAGGATACTTATGGGTTTTAGGTTTAGAGTTTGGGGCCGTAGGGTTTGAGGTTAAGGGGCTTAGGGGCTTAGGGGGCTTAGGGGGTTTAGGAGGTTTTTGAAGGGTTTAGAGCTTAGGGGTTTCGGGTGTCTGGGGGTGAGGGTGTAGCGCTTAGGACCTTAGGGCGCTAGTTTTTAGAGAGGCGTTTTCCGGGGAGGCTGTTGCTTTCGCGTCTTAGGTTCAATCAGCATTCGGGGTTTTGGCCCTCGGATTTCCAGGGTTCTGCCCCAGTCTTAAGATTCAACTGCAAATCTGCTCGTGGTTTGGTGTGTTGTTCTGGCTGAAACGGTGTTTAAAAGGGCTCTTGAACCCCACGAACCCAGCCAACAAAGAAACAGAAAACAGTGAAGGTCTAAACGCAACAGAAAATTGTGAAGGCCTCAACACACAATTTGAGGACTAGCGTGTAGGATATCCCCAGACCCCTGTAGTTGAGGGTAGAGGATTACAGCCATGGAGCCCACTACGTGCTGTTAGATTACTAGTCAGCTGCTTTTGACATAATAAACAGGACCCATTGTAATCCCAAGCCCTAAACCCTAAACCCGTACATTGGCATATTTGTCTCCCGAGACCTCGAGACGTGATGCATCCCCGCGCTGGCTGCAGCGCTGCAGTTGGGCTAGCAACTCCTTGCGACGGTGCAGAGACTGTAAGCAGCTTCCAGCCTTGTCTGGTTTCATGTTCCAGAAACCACAAACTTTGGGCACCTCCCTCCCAACCCTGTCACTATACGAGCCTGGCTTACGCTTGAACCTGGATTAGACTCCCTCACATCACATCACATCACATCACATCACATCACATCACATCACATCACATCACATCATGCCAGACCATGTCATACTGTAAACATTTCGAACCACATCACACCATGCCATAACACTGCATATCGTGGCGTATCGTAGCATAACGTATCATGTCATAGTAAACACTTACTACATGACGGTATGTCGTATCATCCCATAACACACACACACACATATGTACGTGTGTATCTTTGCAAATTTATGTATGGAACTTGTCTAGTTAGCATTATGTCTTTACGTCAACTTCCGGTAAGATCCGATTCCGAGGTCCTTCTGCTTCAGGAACTGCTCTCCTTCCTCCACCAACAGGGGATCCAGGATAGTGCTGCCGTGTTTCCTCGGCCGGCCAGACAAGTCTTTCTGGTTAGTTGGTCGTAATGACTAAATTTTTTCTCAACCGGGCTAGGGGCATGTTGTGCGGTTTTGCTGGACCACATGGAAATAACACGTATGCACCCTCCATAGATGTTTAGGGTTTAGGGCCGGGATAAGCGAATTCATTATTTCGGCCTGGGGCTTGTAGCAATTCGGTTTGGGGCTATGGCTTACAGATTGAGGTATTGCTACTAGGACCCACCCACCCACCTACCTACCTACCAACCTACCTACCTACTTACCTACCTACCTACCTACCTACCTACCTACCTACCTACCTACCTACCTACCTACTCACCTACTCACCTACATATATGTATATACACACAGACATAAACATATACATATACATATACATATACATATACATATACATATACATATACATATACATATACATATACATATACATATACATGTACACATATATGTACATATACATGTACATATACATATACAGTATACATATACATTTACATATACGCGTGTGTGTACATATATATCTGTATATATATATATATACGAGCATGCGTAAACAACATAGAGATGCTTGCAGACACGTGTGCGGTTTGTATATGTAGATACGTGCATTTATAGCTGTCTGGTTCCCTCTGCTGCAACGAGCCGCAAGGCCGCGCGCACCAGCGGCTGAGCACCCAAGCGCAGGGCCTCGACGAGGTTGTGCGTGGCGACCTTTGGGGTGTGAAACAGTCTTTGGTTTGCTGGAGTGTGGATTTCACCTATTCCTTTCAATTCCCAAGCTACAGCCGCAGAGACCTTCTGACACCAAAATCCCGCAATGTCTCCAAGGTATTTCGAAGCCTCCCCCTGTTAAGACTCCCCGAAACCGGAATTTTGCGGTTTTGGGCCCACAATGGAAAGTAAATCAAAAATATTAGGGGGGAGCGCGGATTGTATGAGTTTTGATAGAGCCAAGATTACAGTATTATTAAACCAAGAGGAACAGGACTTTAGGGTTTATAAGGGTTTATTGCTTAGGGCTCAGGGCTCAAGGTTTAGGCTTACGGCCTCAGGGCTACAGGTAATTCTAAACCGAAAGGACCACAACTTTGAGGGTTTGAGGTTTAGGGCTTCTTAGGGCTTTAGGGCTTAAGGCTGACTGTTTGCTCTACCGCCGGAGCAGCTGCGTGACTGCCGGCTGCTGTGTCTGCTACCTGTCTGACCCTAACCCGGATGCCCTGATGCGCCACCCCCCCTATATTCCTATATTAGGGCAGGGGGAACCCCCTTCAACACGGAAGGGATGAAACCATTACATGCGTAAAAGCTTTGGGCCCTATAAAAGTCTTGAGCCGTTGACCTCCAACCTGAAAACACCTATCATGCCTGAGAACACCCATAACAGCAGAAGATGACCCGCACGAAAGAAGCCTCATAAGCCCAAATATAGGGGCCTTAATAGCCCCGTTATACTATACTTGTAATACGGAGCCCCCAAGATAGTATAAGTAATTATTTAGGCCCCTATATTAACAACCCGCGTAAAGTCAGCGAGGGGAGCCGCTGAGCCGAGGACCCTCAGCCCGAGAGCCCCTTCGAAAAGAGAGGCTGAAGCAGAGAGGTGTGGGTAAGTAATGTAAGGGCCTTAATAATTAGAATAGGATTCTGAGGGATTCCATATTATCATTATAGTATATACCAAACCCTAATTCTACTTATTAACGCCCCTATATTACCAGACCACCTTTAGCGTAGCCACAGGTGGCTGTCTGCGTTTAGGCTTTTCTGGCCTCTCGAGGGTACCCACAAGCGGGGTCTGCCTCGAACCTTTCAGCTCGGGAACGAAAACCTGACACTTCAACCCATGACTGCTAAACCCAGCTTAAAAGCCCGCTTTACCCTTGCATCCCAAGCGCCTCTGTGGAAGGCTCCGGAGCGGACTCTTCGAAGCTTCCCTGCAGATGTGGGAGAGTCTTGTGATAGGGCTTGAAGGCTTCAAGGGTTCCAGAAGACTCCAGAAGAGTCTTTGGAGGTTTGGGCTTGAGGGTTGAGAGGTTGGGGATCTACCCTGCATGGGGTTAGGGGCTTACGGCTCTTCAGGGTTTGGTGCTGCGGGGTTTAGGACCTAGGTTAAAGGTGCAGGGATTCAGTGGACCTTTTCGGGCAGCTCGGGTGATGACCTCCGAGATTTCAGGATTGGAGGGCGTTTTAAGGATTCGGGTTTTGAGGATTTATACCTCGGGATTCAATAGGCCTTGACCGGAGTTTACGGTTGCGTAGTTGCCCTAATGCCTACGGCCGCTAGCCCATATAACTCGATTTGAAACTCTTATTTCTTTGAGATGGAACACGAAATCCTCAAACATGCGAGACTAATAGCTTCCCCCTTTTACTGTAGCAACACATTGGGGCGAATCCTCCCGAAACCGTCCTTGCCCTTTACAACCTATTCTGAATTGGGGGAGGGTTTCGAGGCCCCAAATACCCTAGAGCACAGTAAGAGCAAGAGCAAAAGCAAGAGCAGGAGCTAGAGCAAGAGCTGGAGCAGGAGCAAAAGCCGGAGCATCAGCAAGAGCAGCAGCAAGAGCAAAGCAAACGCAAGAGCGGGAGTAAGAGCAAGATCAGGAGCAAAAGCGGGAGCAACGGCAAGAGCAAGAGCAGGCGCGAGAGACGCAGCAGAAGCAGATGCAAAAGCCAGCGCGGGAGCAAGAGCCAGAGCAGGAGCAAGAGCACGTCCCCTCAAAAGTGGCAGTAGAGATGAAAGTACACCGTAATAATAAAAACACTGTCCGAGTATCTGTTGCGGGGCCCGTTAAATATTAGGGGGAAAAGATTTTCCTAAAAACTCTGCTTCTCTCCATTCACTCATGGCAACGCATATCCCGTTGGCTACTCTCTCTCTCTCTCTCTCTCGCTCTCTCTTCCTTCCTTCCTTCCTTCCTTCCTTCCTTCCTTCCTTCCTTCCTTCCTTCCTTCCTTCCGTTGCGTCCAGCTCCGCTAAGCGAACCCGTGCCGAGGCGCCCTCCTCCCTCATGCGTTTGTGGGTGGCGACGGGCTGCTGCAAAAGCCACAGTACTAAGGGCAGGGCCAAATCAGCAAGCTGTCCGAGTACGAGTACGACGTCAGTGTAATAGGGGGTCCGTCCGGGGGTCGTTCCACCGTGGTGTGGGAAGCAACACAGCTTGGACCGTATGTCTCTCTCTCTCTCTATTAATCAGTTGGGTCTTTGCTACATATACACGTACATATACATCTTGTATGTATATACACATGCACAGGGCGTTCCATTTGCAACCTCATCTCATCTACGTTTATCTACGTAATCTCATCTTTCTATCTTGCATCTAGTCTATCTATCTTCTATCGAGTCTTTCCATCTCGATCTCTCTCTCTCTCTCTCTGTCTCTGTCCTCTCTGTCTTTATGCCTCTGTCTGTCTGTCTGTCTGTCTGCCTGGCTGTCTGTCTGTCTGTCTGTCTGTCTGTCTGTCTATTTATCTACCTATCCATCTATGTATATCTATATCTGTAGATCTATCTATCTACCTATCTACCTACCTACCTACCTATCTATCTATCTATCTATCTACCTATCTACGGTATTGATAACCTTAACAATGGTTATGCAGAAAGGCTGTTGGCAAGGAGCGAAGGGATAATGATCTCAGCTTTCGAGCTCATTCACATCAGGCCATACAGAGAGCGTGGGCTTAAACCGTGGCCAGGGTCACTCTGTCTGTACCCGGAAGCCTAAACCTAAACCGCGACCTGCACCCGAAACTTTCAACTCAAAATGCTTCCCACGAATCGGCTGGGGGAGGCCCTCAGCTCATGACACTCGCTCTGGTTCCGGCCCAGATGCTCTCCAGAGGTGGGGACCTGGAAGACTCCGCTAGCATGCCTTGGCGAGACTGGACTCAGGCCGTTCTTAGGAGGTTGTGCTGGGGCCACTGGAGGTTGGGGTCCTCCCGAGCGTTGCCACCTCGCATGCTTGCGAGCACCCTGCACGGAACCGATAGTACAATAACACAGGCTGTACTGGCGGCGTCGGGAAGCGTTTCAGCCCCATCTCTTATCGGCTCAGTGCGTGTGCGTGCCAGTCTTTTGCATTGGCGATTCTACACAATGTCATACACTATATGCAGACACAGTGCATCGCCTAACAAGAGAATTCGCAACAACTGTAACACTGCGGCTCGTGTGGGCTGGACACGTCTATAGCATGGATGAAAGCCGGTTGGGAGGGTCGTGTTTAGTCCAGATCCGGATCCGTGAGAGTGCATGTTTGTGATTTGGCAACAACAGGTCCGACATGTTTGGCTGGCTGGCAAGGGTCAAATTCACAACTGAAGAAAGGCAGATGAAGAGTTCAACAGTGTCATTCTTGTTCTCCGAATTAGCAGGATCCCTTCTAGCATATACCATAGGGCTCCTACATCCGTGCTGGCCAGCAGCTTCGTCGGGACAGGAAAATGACCTAAGGAATAGCTGACATCCAGCATGGGCTTGTCGATAGGCACCTTGTCTAGGGCGTTGGGCATGGCATTGTGGTCTACACTCGCATGATTCTGACCAGGTCGGGGCAGCAACAAATCGTACGGCTGCATGTTCCATCTTTCTGCAAGTTGTTCCCTTAGCCACTTCCATGAGCCTACAGACTTCCAGCTTTCGGTGCAGAGTCTGTTCTGCTGGGGCTTAGCAGGTGCGTCGGCTTTTTTTGGCAAGGATCCCGCTTTCACTAGAACGTGAAACCCAAAGACCGGTCCCAAAACTCGGATCCCCGAAACTTGGAGCACCTTGTACCGCTCTGCTGTTTTACAGAGCATCCGGAGCATGGCTCGGTGATAGGGCCGGCTGAGGTCCAGCTTGTAGCGGCCGCCTCAAAGGTGACTTTGGGAAGACAGTTGCGGGCCTTGAAAAGCCCTGAAATCTTGCAGGGACGGATCCTCAGCTTCAAACTCGAAGTATGTATAGCATCTGACGCAGGAATGATCATCGTTATTACGCGTGGATCTGCCCTTGTGCTTCTATGGTGCTCATTCCATCAAACCTCGTAAGATCCAAGAGACGTCCACAATGTGGTTGTACATGACAATCCCTCATCGATGTGTCTAAATACGTAAGAGTCGGCAATCCTCTAAACCACTCCCAGCACTCTTGCCGCCAAACACGTCTCGCTTTAGGGGATCCGACTTTCGCGCAATCACTGTGCACTGACCTCTAGCTTTGGAGAACCGAAGATAGTTCATCATAAAAGCATACTTATTCCAGCATAAGTCAACCGCAGTTGAGAGCCTCCCAAGTCCCTGCCTGGATTCGTGAAGGAAAAGACTTGGCAGAAGCTCCTTTGATCAACCGATTCCTGGCTTTCAGGACGGACGCATTGTGGCCCCGGGTTCCCTGAAGCTTTGAGATGTGGGGTCTACGACGTTTACGACCGCTTGGGCAGCTGAAAGTGGGGCAGTGCAAAGTGAATTGGCCGGATCCTGGCGTCAAGGCAACCCGTGATAAATGTCTGAGCACTCGACCCTGACCTACTACCCCAGGAAGTCCTGAAGATCCTTGAATGTAAATCCGAAATTTGAAACTCCGGGCACGACTCCAAAAAGTAAGCCCTGGCTTACCCATTGCAGTGGTGTTGATGGCTTTGGGAAACAGAGAGTTTGAATTATGGTAGAGGTCTTGATCACCTGGATGTAATTATGTTAGAGTGCGAAGTCTGCTGTTTGTAGGA